CACAAGTACTCCTGTTCTTTTTGCGGATACAGACTAACACGGCTGCTACTCTGAAACCTATGAATTTAGAGTCAGTCATCTTAACACTGCAGCAAGTCAGTTTTCCCATCAGTAGAGTTGTGTGAGCAACCATTGGAGTTACATAAGTGACTCCTATCTATTGGAGTTACCTATATAAATCCCCACACTGAAGATGGGAGAATAAATCCCCAAACCATTGTGTTTGATGCAAAAAAAATGGACTGTTCCTTTTACATTGATCAAAGTCAGAATGGTTAAGCCACTTCAAACAGCCATCAGCGATCAATGTAGCCAGGAAGTACTGGGATCCATGTGGCTGAAAATCAGGCCCAAGGTGTTTCAAGTTGAGCACCCAAAAACAAGGCGCACAATACTAGTGTCCACTCTTGAAAACTTAGGCCTTAAAATCACCGTGACTATTATTCCCTTCTCATCTTAGTAAAGCATTGTAAGATCTGTGGATGAAAAACATTACATAAGTACTATTGTTTTTGTGGAACCTGGCAGAATAAAGTCTTGTGAAGCTGTCACTTATTTTCTGAATCACTGCCATGCCAAGGGAGTGAATGATCTTGCTCAACAAATGGGAGCCAGACAAAGGGTGTCCCAGCTAGCGTGACCAGTCCCGATTTTATTGGGACTGCCCCGATACTTACTTATTTGTCCCGCGTCGGGATGCGAATTGTCCTGATATTTTGCCCTCCAGCGCACAGGCGGAGGGGGCTCGTGCCCCCCCCCCCCGCCCCAACTCTGCCCAGGCCCTGTCCTGACTCCACCCAGGGCCGGCTCTAGGCACCAGCTAAACAAGCTGGTGCTTGGGGCGGCACATTTTTAGGGGCGGCATGGCCGGCGCCAGAATGCCGCCCCTAAAAATGTGCCCTGGCCGCCCTAGCTCACCTCCGCTGCTGCTGCCGCTGGCCCTCCACTACTTGCCCTCCCTCCCAGGCTCTCAAACCTGGGAGGGAGGGGGTGATCCCGAGCGGCCATTTCGCACGCCGCTGCTCCCCCTCCCTCCCAGACTTGAGAGCCTGGGGGGAGGAGGCAGGGCTGGGGATTTGGGGAAGGGGCGGAGTTGAGGCGGGGCCGGGGGTGGGGGTAATTAAAAAATGGGGGGGGGGCGGCCAAAATTGTTTTTGCCTTGGGCGGCAAAAATCCTAGAGCCGGCCCTGACTCCACCTCCTCCCTCCCCCATTGGATCCCTCCCCAAATCCCCACCCTGGCCCCGGCTCCAGCCCGCCCCCTCACTGCCCCCATTGGATCCCTCCCCAAATCCCTGCCTGTTCCCCAAGCATTCCTCCTCCTCCCCCCTCCCTCCCAGGCTTGCGCTAATCAGCTGTATGGCGGCGCAAGCGCTGGAGGGAGGGAGAGAAGCAGGACGCGGCAGCCTGCTCAGGGGAGGTGGAGCCAGAGCGGAGGTGAGCTGGTGCGGGGGGGGTGGAGCGTGGAGCTGCCGGTGGCTCAGTCCCCACCAATTTTTCCTATTCTCCGGCGGCTCTTGGGGTTGTGTTTTTGTTTTTTGTTTTTCCCCTCCGCTGCCGGCTCTTGGTTTGTTTGTTTTTTGTTTGCTCCGCCGGCAACCGCCTCCCCCCCCCGCATCCTGATATTTCACGTCTCTCATCTGGTCACCCTAGTTCCAGCCAATTCTCCTCTACTGGAAGGATAAAGGGTGAGATGCAAGGCCTTCAGGGGGACATTAAAGCAGGGAAAAAACGTGCGATCACAAGAATCTGATGAAAGAGGCTGTGTAGGTATAATAAATGGATTGTGAAGTGGATAGGACAGTAAAGCATCATAAAGTAAGTTACTGTGAATAATAACTAGTAGTGTCAAGTGAAGAATGTAAGAGCCTATTTTACTTTCAGTTTGATTCATCAGCTCAAACTAACGGTTATGTAATAAATGTAACCATTTCATCCTATCTGTTTTTTAAGGGTAAACCAGTAAAGCCAACAGCAAAAGAGGATGTGAAACCCAAAGAACCAAAGGTAAAAGTCATTACAGTTTTATTCTGCACTGATCCCTTCCTGACTGTGCTCTGAATCAAATGCTGTTCTAAACAATGTTATCTTTGATTCAATAGCACTATATATTGCAAATTCTCAAAAATGCTGTTGAATAGATGTAGAAATATTGTGCTTATTTAAGTGAGAGTGAAGACTTTCAAATGGGCAACACCTATAATGTAGATATTACATGTACGAAACTACATTAAAAGAATGTTAAAGTTGTAAAGTCAAGTACTGAAAAGTTCAGAAATGCCAGAATTAAGGCTGCATATGCAGTCTGGCAATCAAAATTAGACTGAACTACCAGCTTCACCTGTAATAAGAACATGGGGACCAAGATTTTCAAAAATGAATTCTTAAAAGCATATTTAAGAACCTAAATAAGTAGCCTGACTTTCAAAAAATGCTGAGCATTAATTGGTCTTACTGATTTCAAAATAGTAGCACTTTTTGAAAATCAGGAAACTGGGTTAGGTCCTTAAATATGGATTTGGAAATCAATTGTTAAAAATTTCAGCCATGTGATTTTAGGGAGCTGCAGCTACACTGGGAACAGAACTATGCTGTCTGAACAGCTTTGTGGATTGGGTGTAAGTGCTAAGGATTTATTATTATTTTTTATTTTTGTCGGTTGGTTTTTTGCTGTAGTTGATCATTTTAGAGTACAATCCCGTGACTCCTTTTGCATTCTATACTTTATGACTGATGATAGTTTCTATTGCAGAAGCCTACAGATGATTCTGCAGCTATTGATGCTCTATCAGGGGACTTTGATAATTGTGCAAAAACTCCTCCCACACCACAACACTCAAAGGTAAGACATTTTCTCCCGAAGGATTTGCAAAATAGTATATTTGCATGACCCCCACAGGCGTAGGTTTGCATTACATTTCTTTGCTTTGGCTCTATTTGTATTTAGACTTGCACTCTCCCATATAAGAACATTTGAGAGGGTAACTTAAAGGGATGCTGTTAAGGCTTCATTGTTGGCCTGACATACTTTTAGAAGAAGTGTGAGAATTAACTGGGTTCAAAAAAGAACTAGAAGGTCCATCATTGGCTATTAGCCAAGATTGTCAGGGATGCAACCCCATGCCCTGGGTATCCTTAAACCTCTGACTGCCAGAAGCTGGGACTGAATGACAGGGAATGAATCACTTGATAATTGCCTTGTGCTGTTCATTCCCTCTGAAGCATCTGGCACTGGCCATTGTCATATGACAGGATACTGGGCTAGACCATAGGTATGTCCATTCTTATGCAGGGGATCCCAATTTTTTCAGTTGTCTTCCTTGGATGAAGATCAGGAGGAAATAAGAGTAGATATATAAGTAGGGCTGGAGCTGTGTGTGGCCTTGATGGTGAAGACAAAAATCCTGTTGAAGTAATCTTTAGAGCAATGAGAGAGGAAGGTGGATTTCAGTAGCAGCATTTGTATAGACTGGGGTGGGACAAGAGGAAACAGGGAGGCAAAGAGGAGAAATCTTGACTTCATTACTGCAAGAATGACGAAGGTTTAGGGGAAGGTTGGAAAAAAGAGGAAAGTGAAGGTGCTGTAGAAGTAGTGATAGGAGGGCAGACTTGACAGTGTCTGAAGAGAGCTTGGATGTGTGAGGGAGCAGAGGAGAGAGAGGATTCAAATGCAGCATCAACATTGTCAGCCCATTTGTTGGGGAGGATAAGGGAGTTGACAGCAGAGATGAAGAAGTAAGAAGAGGATTTGGGATGAAAAATGAACAGTTCAGTTTGTATCATATTGAGTTTGAGATTGTGGTACGACATTCACTTGGAACGGTCAGAGATGCAGGTGGAGATGTGAGACTGTGCAGATGGGAAAGGCAGGTGGTAGGGAGGTACATTTGGGAGTCAGGCGCATAGAGATGGTGCCATAGTTAAATCTATAGGAATGGATGCTGCTGCTCTGGAGAATATAGAGGGAGACGAGGGATTAAATCTGGAATTGGAGAAAAGCACTGTGAAGGTCAAACTTCCTTCATGCTTGCTGTCCCCATCAATCCACTTGGGCTGTGCCAGCAAAACAGCACTCTCATGGCCTTTTGTATCATTGGAAAAATGGATTCATCCTAAATGGCTCATTTTACGTGACCAGAACACGCTGGGGTGATTGGGGGATATTGAGTGCTAAGATTCGCGAACTGTGTTGTTAGATTTTCTAGAAGTGATCACTGCTGGCTAAATTAGGCTTCATTTAGTCAACCCCTATAACCATTTATTTGCTCCCATTTGCTACCTCTCCCTCCCCTTGATAAATAACACCCCTAGCTCCCTCACCCACAGCCAGAAGAAATCACATCACCTGAGTTGAAGAGCCTTCGTTCTCCACTGGCTTCCCACAGTCACAGCACGGTCTCCATGCCAGTTCTTCCCTGCCTCACTCCTGGCAACCTGATGTGATCCACCTCCCCTGCTTGTTTCCAGCCTCAGGGTCAAATTGGGAACTGGCAGCAGTGAAGGGTGTCACTTTAGGAGCACAGTGTGGGAGAGGTATGGGGATTCTCAGCTGGGAAGAGGCAAGTATGGTTGGGATTTTGACCACCTGAGAGTCCAGACTCAGCTTGGCCTCCCAGCAGTCAAAAATGAATTTTCCTGCCCAGCACAGCAACTTCTATTGGGAGCCAGTTCACAAGTGATCCCCGTGAGTTCGCTGTTTTATCAAGATTAAAACATAAAATCCCAATTACTGAGAGGCAGGTACCAGTGATCTCCCATTTAAAACATTTACTGTGATTCTGCCACGTGATTTTTTTTGTTCCATACTGCCAGTAAGAAATGCCCTATTAAACTGAGGGGTACAAAGCAGGATACAATTTCCAAAAAGGGAGGTGATTCTGTTTCCAGAGAGGCCCGCTGACTAAAGTAGAACAATAGGAAGCTGCCTGGTCACCTCCTGGCCTCGGGGTGGAGATAGCGACAAAGTTTAACTACATCTCTCTTTCCAATGATGGAGGACTTTTCTCAGGACTCCCCACCATTGATAGGAGAATAAACAACAAAATTCCCTTTGTTACATGAGTTCAACCATTGCTAAGTACATTAAATAAAATGTATTCCTGAACTGTAAATACTAATTTATTAGTTCTCATTCACTGCTTGAGAATGCATCTTTTTCATCTCCTCCAAATAAACGTATTTTTTTCTACTAGGACAAGAAATGTGGTTGTTTGGGGCTGGTCTTTGGACTTGTCCCAGATCTTTTAACAGTTGTTGGCACTGATTTTATGACTCTGTACCCTGACTCATTTAACCACCCTTTCTCACATTATAACTGATTCAAGCGTTCGCCTAATCCTTGAAAGGAACTCTTTGCCTTGAGTAATCAACAAAGCTAAATGAGAGTAACTTATTTCTTTATCTTTCCAAAACTCCTTCTTCCTCAGCATGCGCACACAACGTATACCATACATCCTCAGTAAGCCATCTAAGGATACAATGTTTAAATAAATGGTACAAGTCCCATAAAATATAGTTTCTGTCTGTGGAGTGAGGGGCAGATTCTCAGGTGCAGTGCACCTGCTTTGTACTGAAGATGGAATCTGGCCACATAGCCAGTACAATAGGCCAGCAGACAATCAGCTTCATCACCTCTGCCCTTTCTGCTGCCAGACAAGGGGGCTCCTCAGTGCTAGACAGGGATCTAGCCCAAATATTCTAGACTCCGTTTGATTCTGGAAGACGGTAACTCTTCTTTCTCTTTGTTTGAAAGTGAATTTGTTTCTGATGACAGGTGTCAGGATTAGAGGACAAAAGTGGAAAGGAAGCTGCCACCACGAAACCAGCCACAAAGGACGGTGGAAAACCTGAAGATCCTAAAACGGTAGAACCAAGTCCTAATATGGATAGGGCTGGATTGTTGAACAATATGAGTGTGGAGATGGGCAACTTGGATCTGGAATCATTTTATTTGGGCATTAGAGTTTAGGGAAAGTGTTCTCAAATAACAGGTTCTGTTTGACCCACTTTTGTATGTATGCAAGGGAGTGGCACTTAACTATTTCAGGAGATGTTGTGGACCTGCTTTGGCTTAAAAAAGTGTCTGCTTCAAAAGAGGGTAAATCCCATACAGCATACCAGGTAGATGTGGGCTCTGTGTATTCATATGTTCCTCAAGACACTCAAACGCCTCATTCTCACGCCCACAGCCCTGTTCTTGTCTGTTGCCCTCCTCACCCCACTCCCTTTGTCTACTTCTCCCACTTGTGATTCCACCCTTTCTTTCATCTCCTCTATCTGGAGCAACCTTTCTCCTCTCCTGCTTCCAGTAACCTTATTCTCCCAATGTCAAGTCCCTTGTCTTCTCCTCTTTTGTCATATGTTTTATGTAATCATTAATAAAAGAATCTGTGCCTGTATATAAATACGTATGCAGAATGAATTTGGTGGAGAGGGAAGGTGTGTTAATTTTTTATGTAGTGCATGTCTATAGATGGATATATACTTAATATGAGCAAAACAGCAGAAAGGACCCAAATGTTGCTTGGATTTTCAGCAACCCATAAAGGATCATAGAAACTGGAATTAGACATGGAAATGACCTAGCCCAGTTAATAAACTGATCCATCCATTTATTCCTTTGAGCCAAATTTATAACATCATGTATATCATATTTTTTCAGTGATTGTGATGAACAGCGTTTTTCTTTACCAGGAAATTTGCTTTCCAAGGCTTTTATTTAACAGTTGAGCTGACTAGCAAATTTAGATTTAAAAGCATTGCATCAGGAACATTTTAGGAGGACATTTTCTAACGTTAAAAGTTGTCTGGCTGCTGATAGCTATAGCCTATAGCTATGGCCCAGTAGATGTCAAGATAATAATGAGGGAGGAGATCAGCCACACATACCAAAATAAAATATGGGATAGGGAAAAATAAGGAGAAATGGACCCATATGAAGTTACAAATACATTTTGCTGAATGATCACCTTTTTTTCCCTCCCTGTTACTGCTAATGAGCATGTCTCACAGATGCAGATCATTTAGATGCTGTCATTATCACTTCTAATCTATCATTATGTTATTTTAATTTCTAATCTGAAACAGTAAATTATAGCTCATCCATGCTTTGTTTTACTTTTCCTTTTTAGGCAAAGGAGCAGTCCTCCAGTGCAAAACCTGAGAGCCAAAAAACAAGTTAAACTTTAATATTACAGTATTGGGTAAGATTTCTCTTTAAGCCATCCTCTTAGTTACCACAAAGACAATCTACATTAATGAGATGAGACCATTTCACAAGGCCAACTGGAACCAAGTTGTAGTTCATTTTTAGACCAAATACGCAGGACTTCACTGTAGAGAATCCTAGACAGGAAAGCCCTACTATCTCCTCTAGCACACGCTCCTCTCACCTCCCACCAAACCAGAACAGAATTGCTTCCTGCAATTAATTTTCAAGAGCTTTTGGATAGTTTAATTTTAAAGATCTCAGGTGATGCCACTGCTTCCTTTGTGAGACCATTTCACAGACTAATAACGCTCACTGTCAAAAAGTTATTCCTAATATTCTATATAAACAGTCTTTCTTCTTCGAGTGCTGGTCCCTCGGTGTATTTCACCGTGGGCACGCATGTGCTCCATGCGGCTGGAGAAGTTTGAAAGCAGTGTCCGTTGGTCTACACATGCACGCTTGCTCACCCCATGCCTCCGACTGAGGAGATAAAGGGGTGGGAGGGGGAGCAGACTGACCGCCTCTCCAGTTCCTTCTCAGCACCACATGGGTTGGAACCTCCAGTGTCCAAAGCTTCAGCTTTCTCCTTTTTCTGTGAACATATCTATGTCTATTTATCGGTAAATAGGTTTTGAAGTGTTTATAGTTTTATCTGATAACCATAAGACACTAAAGCTAGTTAGCCGCCCTGTCGTGAGGAGCCCCACCCCCCGTTCTTCAATTGGGGTACTGGACTATGCCCAGGACACAGGGCTTCAAAATTTGTGCTTCCTGCTCGTGATCCTTCTCGGTCAGCGACAACCACCAACACTGTATGCACCGCCTCAGGGAAGCCCACAACGCGCCACCAAGGTCCGCTATCTGGTATTAGTTCCCCAGTCATACGCACAAACTGCAGGAACTTCACTTTAGGAAGCACCTAATAAAAAGGCCATGAGGCCGCAATCGGACCCAGGCCAGGGAACCCTCTCACCCCACCCTGTACATCTGCCTGACTCAGCAAGGAGTGTGCCTCGTGCCACGAGATCCAACTCAGGAGCGAGGGAGTCAACCCCCACGTATGCCTCGTTGGCGTCTTGTCGAGAGAGCAGGAAGCGTTCTCACAGGCATGAATCTAAATCCTCCTTCAAATGCACTTTGAAGAAATCAGATTCAACCCCTGCCTAAACTGAACAAGTCTCTGAGCTCAGCCCAAGAGAACTTAGTATGTCCTAACTCTTAAGGGTATGACAAGAGAGACCAAAAGGCTAGGGCTCCATCAGCACTGAATCGTGACTGGGCAGCAGTGGTGCCTCCTTTACCACCCAAGCACAAACCCTAGGCTCTGTTGGCACCAATGAAGAGCAGTCACCAAGAGCATCAGTTATCTGCGGTACTGACTTTGTCTGCCATGGCTGTGGCACAGACTGTCTCTGCTGTGACTCCTCTAGTTCAGGCAGACAAGACCCCTCACGCTCTGGGAAGAGCTGAGACCGTCGCTCCTCCTGAGGACATCTTCGCTTTCCCAGGTCCAGTGTCTCCTGCTCCATTGGGTCACTCCCTCTCGTCCATCCACACATTGTGCGTTTGACTCCTCCGCTGATGCATCCTTTGGAATGGCAGTCCTTCGTTCGGCTCGGCCATCTGTATCTTTTCACCCTTCTCCTATTTGAGTACAGCTTGTCAATCACCCACAGCGGAATACACAGAGGGACCAGCACTCGCAGAAGAAGAGAAAGATACTTGCCTTGGAGGTGCTTTGATACGTGTGTTGCCTATCTGTATTCCACTACCTGCCCTCCTTGCCATCTCCTTCAGATCACCATTTTGTTCACAGTGGAAAAGGAACTGGAGAGGCAATCTGTCTGCTCCCCTTTATCTCCAGGGTCAGAGGCATAAGGTGAGCAAGGGTGCGTGTGCAGGCCAACAGACAATGCTTTCAAAATTCTCTGGCTGTGGAGCGCATACCTACCCACAATGGAATACAGATAGGGACCCTATCTTGAATAACCTCCGGTTACTATAAGATAAGTAACTTCCTCTTATCTCTTTATTCCTAGATATACCCTCTTGTATGAGGATACTTTATCTTGTTGTTTACACCCTTAAAATATCCACAGGCAATTCTATTAACTCTTAGTCATCAATTAGTTATATGTAAGGCCCTATCAAATTCACAATCCATTTTGGTCAATTTCATGGCCAGAAGGTTTTAAAATTAGTTGATTTTATGTTTTCAGATGTTTACATCTGAAATTTCATGGTGGTGTAACTGTGGGGACCTGACCCAAAAGGAGGTCGTGGGGGAGGGGTTGCCAAGCTGTTGCAAGGGGTTGCGGGATTGCCACTCTCAGTTCTGCGCTGCCTTCAGAGCTGGCTCTGAAGGCAGCGTAGAAGTGAGAGCTTCCTGCAGCTGGTGGAGGTACCTGGAGATGGGTCTGATCTCCCCCTGAGAGCAGCCATGCAGGGGAAGAAGAAGTCCTATCCCTCCCCAGACCGGCCAGGATTAGCAGCTGGAGCCTGGTAGGAGCCCCCAGCCGGGGTGCCCCCAGCCCTGCCCCTGCCACTCCCTTCCACTAGCTAGATATCATAGGGGAGGTCTGCTTTCATGGTCCTTGGCATCTTTTTCAAGGCTGTGAATTTGCTAAGCCCTAGTTATATGGTGTATATTTAGACGTTTTAATCTTTCCTCATAATATTGTCCTCAGAGCCTTTAATCATGTTTGTTGCTCTGAGTCCCTTCTAACGTGTTGATCTAGGTGTCATTCATGTCCCCAGAAGTAAACACAATTTTCTATATATAGACACAGGGTGAAATCCAATGTGAGAGAGTTTATTATCTTCAATGGAGCCAGGATTTCATCCATAGACCGGATTTATCACTTCTTTGTATGTGCAGCCCAATGTCACCTTTTTGTTTCTTTTTGCATTAGTACACTACAAATGATAATACCTAAATCACTTTTGGTATTACCTCTTCCTGGGATTCTTTCTCTGTGTTAAGCGACAAAGAGTCCTGTGGCACTTTATAGACTAACAGAAGTATTGGAGCATAAGCTTTCGTGTATCTCCTCCTTTGGTGTTCACACCTCAACTGCTAGAAGAGGGCCTCATCCTCCCTGATTGAACTAACCTCGTTATCTCTAGACTGATTCTTGCCTGCATATTTATACCTGCCTCTGGAAATTTCCACCACATGCGTCTGACGAAGTGGGTATTCACCCACTTATGCTCCAATACTTCTGTTAGTCTATAAGGTGCCACAGGACTCTTCGTCGCTTTTTACAGAGCCAGACTAACACGGCTACCCCTCTGATACTTTTCTCTGGTTGCATCTGAAGAAGTGAGGTTTTTACCCACGAAAGCTTATGCCCAAATAAATCTGTTAGTCTTTAAGGTGCCACCAGACTCCTTGTTGTTTTTGTAGATACAGACTAACACGGCTACCCCCTGATACTTTTCTCTGTGTTGTGTATTATTCTCCTCAGATAAAGTGGCTTATGTTTTTCCTTTTACATGACAGATGTTTCACTGAATTTCTTCTCTGGAACCTTTTTTTTTTTCTTCTAGGTGATCGGCACATAGTGTAAAAAGTCTTCATTCTGCTGGTGGACAGTTATTCCCAAAGAACAAAAGCTAATGCAAGAGTGTGAGGTTATTCTGGGTGGTTTTTGTACAGTGTTATTTGCTGGAGGTTTTTCATATCATTTTTCCAGGAATGAATTGGGGTGTTTTTTTTCTAACCATTCATGTTATTGTATTGATACATTTTGAAACTTTTTTTGTAATTTCTTCAGTTCTGAGTGGGAAAGGATGCTTTATATTTGTAAGAAGTCTATTTCATAAGAACTTAATAGCAATTCCAGAAACAGCCTGCAAACTTTTGCACATAATCTCCACATAGTGCCTGTAAATGTCAGTAGAGTTCTCTAGGTATGAGCTAGCATTTTTAACATTGCAAAGAATGCATTAAGCATTCTAAGAATGTAATGAGTTTTGGTTAACCTTGGCCTTTGTAGGCTGACTGTATAAGGTATTTCTTTGGGTGAATTATTGGTGAGAAATCATAGGTCAATCACAGATATTTACAGGATAGCAAATTAATAGATGTATCATCTCATCTGGACTCCTAATAATAAAATGTCAAAAGTCTGGACAGTGCCTTTGTTACAGTGTAAAAAAGAGTCTCCCTCTCTCAAATTATGTCACCACAACTGTACTCTTATCCTCTTTGTGCCAGGAGTTTCCTGACTACAGATGCTAATGCGAGTCACCTGCATTCCTGGCCATATCATACTGCAAGAGAGGGAAAGGGGGCCCCTGAAACTTAGCAAGAGTCAAATGAATGGGAGCTCCAAGTCAAGAGAAAGGGTGGCACTTTTGCAATAATACCAAGTCTCTGCCTCTCCACCCTCTATTGAGACTCCCAAAATGGGTGCAAGAGCAGAAGTTAATGCTTATAAGGAATGGTATTAACTTCTATGAACTATATTTACATGGTCCCCAGGGAAACAGCTGGCAAAGAGCAGCCATTCCCTGGCAACCACATTGCAACGCCGAAGATGAGGCTATTCTTTGAGCTGTTGTAGATGTGCTACTTCCCCCAATTTCTGTGGGTTTTTCCCTTCTTTGTGCCCCACAGCAAAGGGAAGCTTAGTGCTATAAGTGCAAGATTCTGGTGTCCTTACTCACAATGAGTAACACTATAAATAATCTCATTGACTTCGAGGAACTACTCAGTGTGAGGTAATGGTAGATGAAATATTAGCCAGGGTCTCAAAATCTGGTCCTATCTATCTCGTGTTCCAGACAACCATTTTCCAGAGAGCTAATATGGAGGATAATCAGAATTATGACAACCTGACAGTCTGTATTGAGAGCCTGTGTCACACTAATAAAGTTTTTAGAATGTATTACTATGTGTGTCCTATTGTTTATATCGTCCTATTTCCAATTGTGTATTATTGAACAACTCACTAAAGACAACAGAAGTGCGTCCACTAGAAATCATTAAAAGTAGGCTTTGGGGTATTAAAAGTGAATGCAATGCTTTGTGCAAAATCAGTAAAATGTCTGTCATCAGATCTTCATGAAAACCAAGTATATTAACACCATAAACATAAAATCAATTCAGAGATCTAGCTACAATTTTTTTTTTTCATTTTGCTTTTAAATAACTCCAGAAGAGAGTCAGAGCCAGCTTTTAAGTTGCGGAACTCCATTTTTGTGGGCACAATTTAGGTCATGTAAATGTTTAAATTACCTAAACTATGAGCACAAATATTTGCACACACAAAACTGCACCCACGAAAATGAGGACCCAGTTGAGATTGTGCTGAAAATCTGCTAGCTTTTTCCCATTGATTAACATAAACATCCTGATGTTCTTAGGAGACTGAAGATTCATTCTCTTTTTAGGTTCTTGTATACTACCCATCGTCATGGTATCTGAGTCTAAAATATTTCTTTGAGAGGGAGTTTACAAAGATTGCATGTATGCATTATTACTACTTTTATTTTTGAGCTTTGTCTCCTGAAAGTAAGTAGCTGATTAATTAACAAGGTAAAATCAATTAATCTGAAAGAAAGACCAGGCTACTTCTATCAGGTAAATAGCATAGCATCAGCGTAGATAAAAATCCATGATTTAAAAAAAAAAATCAAATATCTGATTTTTTTTATTTAAATCAGATTTTTTTGATAAAATGCTTTTTCCTCAAAAAGCATTCTCTAAAGATAGTTTTAATTAAGATATATTATAGCTCAAAGATATATCATCATGGAATAGGGATTATAAATTCTAATTCTATAGTATGAGACAACATATTCATGTAATGTTTAAGAAAAGTTTTGTAAATGAGTTCCAATAGTTCATGGATTAGGGACCCAATCTTATGGGGTTCCAGGGGCTTCTGTATAGATTATTTAGGTTAATCTTTCTATCTACCCAATGGGACTCAGTGCTCAGTCTAGAAGATACCATCAGAGATGCTTAGTTTTGCAGTTTTCAAACTGGATTTGTGTCTCCAGAGATAACATGCTTGTTAACAGCAAAAATGTTTTTAAATAAATAAATAATATATAGAGGTGAGAAATAACAGACCTCAACCCCTATTGTCCCTCTGCAAATTTGTGTACACAGAGTCAATCTATTACCTCTCTCTAAAAGTGCAAAGTTTCAAAAAGTTCAATGAATAGAAGATTGTTGGGGGCAGAATAGATCCGGACAAGGAGAAGAAGTCTGGAGATAAATGTGAGAAGGGAGGGACAGGCAGTAGAAACAAAAGTGAAACTGTTTGAGCAGCATATTCCAGAAGTCTTGAGGTCTTTCTGCGTGTAGCCTTCATTGATTTGAGATCTACCATAACATTCTCTCACTACAAGGGAAAACCTATAATAGCAGCATGCCGTAAAAGAGACCTAGTTTGGGAATGTTTTAATGACGTTCCTTTACCTGTGGGTAAGACAGGCATGTGTGCAAAATGCAAATAGTGCAACAAAGAAATGCAAGGCCTGGTTGCCCGAATGAAATAACATCATGAGAAGTGTTCCTTCTCAGGAGGAAGCTGCATTGAAGATGATGAAAGGAACATGTCTGAACATACAGGATCTTCAGGTTGGTAAACGTTTTTATTTCATACTTCTTTCTTAAGGACTGCCTGTCTTCCTTCTGGACTATTCTTGAATTCTCATGTTTGAGCAAAAAATACACAGTAACTCCTCACTTAAAGTCGTCCCTGTTAACATTGTTTTGTTGTTACATTGCTGAAAAATAGACCATTTTGCCAAAAATAAAACCTTTTGCTGACTTTTTTTTGAACAGGTGGTTTGGCACAGGAACTAGAAAACCCGCAGAAAAAAGACCTGTGGTCAGAGATGTATGTACCGTTCACTGTCCATGTGAAAATTTATCCCAATTTGCCTCAGTTATAAGCCATGGAGAATCACGATTTACATATGCACAGATTTTGTTTGACACGTACTCCTTAATTTTCTTTCCAATTAGCACTGCATATGTCCTCAGCTCTCTTTCCTTCAGAGGCTTCTTCAAAATATGATAGCTCCAGCTCCAAACAGGACAGAGACAAAACAGATTCTCCTGTTCCTGGTACTTTCCCTGATTAAAAAAAAAATCCGCTTTGGCTTCAGGGAAGGTCCTTTAAGCTGGGAGCCAGGGGACTGCATTTTGGTTTCATTTCTTCCACCAATTAGTATTAATCATTAAATGCATTTCAAAACCTTTATTATTGATCAAGGCCTTCTATCCTGACCTTAGGAGGCAGGAAAGTGTCTCTCTCTCCCTCCCTCCCTCCATTATGTAAATAATAAAACTGATGAGTTACACAAAGTCAATTCTGGCACCCCTGGGAGGCACTCAAATTACACAGGCAACCTTACTGTTGGCTTTTTGTAACCTGAGCCCTTAACTTCTCAGCCTTAACATTCTGTTTCTGCATCCAAGACTCTTTTTGGGGGGTGGGGGGAGAGGGCTTATGTCATGTCAGGGGATTGGTATTTTTTTTTGGCAAACCTTCAAAACAACAACCTCCCCCCTCACCCCCCGGCCAAATTTTTTTGCTCTTGAGGATTTTATCAGAGCAGGAGAGGAAGCCTGGAGAAGCTCTTAGTGAGCTTCAGCAGCTTGTTCTCAGCACCTGTGAGTTGAAGGATTTGAGCCAGTTCCAGCTGGAGCTCAAAGGCCCATTGTTTTCACGCCTGTTTCCCTAACCAAGCTGGCAGACCCAATTCCTTCCCCTCTTCCCACCCACACCCACACCCCACCCCTCCAACAAGTAGCTTCATCATTTATGGAAGGATCCTAGATTGCCATTATCCAGCCACAGCTAAGCATGTACATGTTGTATGTTCAGTCTGTGAGGCAGTGTAACAACAACCAGCCGTTTACTTCTAATGACTCAAGATATAAATGTTGATTACTTCCAAGATAATAAATCTTTATATTCACCAAAACATGGAGTCTTAAGGGTCAGTGCTGCAGTCCCTATTTAGGCAAAACTCCAATTGGCTTCAATGGGATGTTGCCTGTTTTAACAGCTACAGGATAGAACCCAATATGTGTAATTTCCTACTTCTAAAAAATAATCAGTGTATCAGGCAGTCTAGTATGGCCATGAATTTTCTAAGGGGAAGTTTGACTAAAAAAAAAAAGCTCATATGAAGGTCAAAGTCCATAAAATCTGCTTGATCTCTGCCTAATCAGCATGCAGGCATTTTGAATATATAACTTACTTGGTTAACATTGTTCCAGGTTTCAGTCTTATTGGCTCTGAAGAAGTGAGTGATAGAAACTTGCTGACACACCATCTCATTGATAACTTTCCAACTGTCCTGACCCAAGGTTAATTTTCTTATACAGTAGATAGGGGAAGGCTGGTTTGATAAGTCAATGAAGGTCATAACATTGGGTTACAGTTTTTGACGCTCCCTTCCTTTCACCCCTTTCCCCATCCCTCTTCAGGGATCCCTCTCACAAGCTTCTACTGAGGCAATAGAACCAGTCCCTTCCTCTCACAGGGGTAGGGGGTTCTATTCAAAATATTTCCTAGTGCCAAGGAAGGACGGAGGTTGGAGGCTGATCTTTAATTTAAGGCAGTTAAACAACTTCGTGAAGCCTCAAAAGTTCAGGATGGTGACTGGCAACTGTAATTCCTTCACTTGAGGAAGGGGATGGAGAAAAGGACCTAGGGGTCACAGTGGACGAGAAGCTGGATCTGAGTCAACAGTGTGCCCTCGCTGCCAAGAAGGCTAACAGCATTTTGGGCTGTGTAAGGAGGAGCATTGCCCGCAGATCAAGGGATGTGATCATTCCCCTCTATTCGGCATCGATGAGGCCTCATCTGGAGTACTGTGTCCAGTTTTGGGCCCCACACTACAAGAAGGATGTGGAAAAATTGGAGAGAGTCCAGAGGAGGGCAACAAAAATGATTAGGGGTCTGGAGCACATGATTTATGAGGAGAGGCTGAGGGAACTGGGATTATTTAGTCTGCAGCAGAGAAGAATGAGGGGGGATTTGATAGCAGCTTTCAACTACCTGAAAGGGGGTTCCAAAGAGGATGGATCTAGACTGTTATCTGTGGTAGCAGATGACAGAACAAGGAGTAATAGTCTCAAGTTGCAGTGGGGGAGGTTTAAGTTGGATATTAGGAAAAACTTTTTCACTTAGAGGGTGGTGAAGCACTAGAATGGGTTACCTCCTTCCTTAGAGGTTTTTAAGGTCAGGCTTGACAAAGCCCTGGCTGGGATGATTTAGTTGGGGATTGTCCTGCTGTGAGCAGGGGGTTGGGCTAGATGACCCCCTGAGGTCCCTTCCAACCTTGATATTCTATGATGGCTTTTTCATCCCTTGACTTTCAAGATACCTACTTCCATATCACTATACATCCAGCACACAGGATATACCTACAATTCACCACAGGCCAAGATCATTTTGAGTACTGAGTGCCCCCCTTTGGCCTATTCTCAGCCCCAAGGGTGTTTTTGAAGGTTCTAGCAGTAGTGGCAGCTTACCTTTGGTAGGAAGCAATCCTGGTCTTCCCGTACCTAGATGACTGGCTACTCAAGGGCCGCTCCTTCAAGGCAGGTTATCATCCACGCAGAAGGACCTCACTCTGTACCAAGAGTTGGGCCTACAGCTGACTATAAAGAAATCCATGTTGGTACCTATACAAAGGATACAGTTTATAGGAGCATACTTGAACTCACTGACAGCCAGAGCGTACCTCCCTTTGGACAGATTTGCAACTTTGTCAGGTCTAGTAGGGACTATTCAGAGAAGCCCTCAGACCTCTATAAGGAACTGTCTTCAACTCTTGGGCCGTATGGCAGCTTGCATCTCTGTGGCCAGTCATGCAAGGCTACACTTCTGCTGCTTCCAGGGTTGAATTAGAACTA